ATGCTTTCGGCAGTCGTTAGCCATCATCCTGCGCTTGCAACAACACTGCACCTAATTCATACGATGATGCATCCGCCGAGATTATTGTCTTCAAATTTGGATTGTACAGCGCAAGAATGGGCGACTCGGTAAGATCATATTTTATCTTATTGAACGCTTCATCTTGTTGGAAGTTCCATGTAAAGAGGTGATCTTTGATTAACAAATCGCGTAGAGGCTTGGTCTTCTTTGCCAAGTCAGGCACAAATTTTGCTAACTGGTTTACCATTCCTAAAAATCGACGCACGCCGCCGACATCACTGGGTGGTTTCAATTATTTTATCGCATTAATCTTATCTGTATCGGGTTTTATCCCCTAGGAATTGATGACATGCCAAACAAATTTAACCTCTCGCTTCTTAAATTCACATTTTTTTTTTCGAATTCAACGTTACGCCGGCTTTTCTCATGTTTTCAAGTGCCGTTTAAGTCTGTGGTCGTGTTCAGCTTGATCCTTACCGTAGATAAGAACATCATCGACTATACACGCGACACCGTCGAGTCCTCCGATTATCTTGAACACTTTGTTTTGAAAGTGTTCGCTTACTGAGTTAAGACCGTATGTTAACCGCATAAAGTGGTAACGACCAAACGGTGTTATGAACGTCGTGAGTTTAGCCGATTCCTCTGACAACGGAATTTGCCAGAAACCGCTATTCGCGTCAAGCTTAGAGAATACACTAGCTCCTGAAATACCTGCAGTGTATGGTCAACAAGAGGCATAGGGTAAACTTCCCGTTTCACGCTCACGTTCAATTTTGTGAGATCAACGCAGATTATCATGTCTTCTTCGGAACTACTACAATTCCTGCGCACCACTCTGTTGGCTTTTCAATTCTCCGAATTACGCCAAGTGCTTCTATTTGCTCCAGCTCGCTTTTTACTTTTGGGAGCAGGGGTATTGGGATTCTGCGTGGAGTGTTCAGCGCGTAAGGTTTGACGTCTGGTTTCAGCTCTATAGAGTAATTGCCTTCGAGCTTACGTAAACCCGTAAATAAATCCGCGTACTCCTTTCTGATATCGGTAGCGTCGTTAATTTCATCGACTTTGTGTCTGGTTATGAGCCCCAATTTCTCAATGATCGGCCTGCTTATTAGCGCTCGTCGTAAGTTTTTAACTACATAAGCGTTTCCCTTTGCGACCTTTTTAGTTCCGTTGCACACAACCTCGAATTTGGCCATGAACATGCCGATTACTTTGAGCTGACCATGTCCAGGTCCATGCAATGTTACGTTTGGCTTTTTAAACTTCTTGATACACTTAGCCGCTAGCTCCTTTGGAACTACAGTGACGTCAGCGCCCGAGTCTTACTTGAATTCTTCGGACACGCTGTTAATCTTTACAGTACTAATCCATAGTTTACTAGTAGTTATGGTTTACTAGTAGTTACTGAATTTATGCTGACCTCATCGATATACAATAATTCGCTTACATGTTGCGATGCTGCTGCCGACAAACACTTCAATGCGAAGTGGCCCTTCCTGCTGCATTTGTGGCACTTTGCGTCTTTCGCAGGACACTTATCTCGGGCATATGCGTTTCTGCCGCACCGACCACATTGTGACTTCGCTTTGACATTATATTTTCGCGTTGGCCTAGCGCTTTGCTGAACTAGCTTATATCTAGGCTTACTATGTGCAGATTTATAAAGAGCATCTACCTCGGCGGGAGCTTCTTGTCTAACTACAGATTGTTGCTTCTTTATTGCTTCTGTTTCTCGTGCTAGTTTAACTGCTTTTTCGATCGTTAATTTCTCGTCAAGCTGCATTTTCTCCGCTAGCTTTGTATCTTACAACCCAACTACTATTCTATCTCTCACCATCTCGTCGTGCAAAGCACCAAACTCACAGTACTCTGCCAGCTTATACAATGAGTTGATAAATGTATCTACAGGCTCAGATTCCTTTTGCTTACGCTGATTAAACTTGGCCCTCTCGTATATCGTATTACGTCTAACGATAAAATAATCATTGAAGTGTTCCTCTACTTCGACGTTAACATCTGTTAATCTTAGCGAGGTTAGTATGTCCTCTACTTGTTTACTCATAGCATAAACTAGTGTATTTATCTGGGTGGGTCTCATCAGTTTTCCGATCGAGTTTCGATGCCTTTCAAAACCTTTGAAATCGCTGCAGCCACTTAGGCCACGACTCAGTCTTATTAAAAGTGATTTGTTCAGGAGAACTGACCTGGTAAACTTCTTGCACACCGGGCATTTCCGTTGCTAAGGCTACTGCCTGTTGCGCGTTGTTTAGTTGAGCATGCTCATTTTCGTTGCTTTTAATTTTCGGTTGAATTTGCAAACTATAAACCATGTTTACTCTGACACCATGTTATGTCGGGACGTGACTCAATCAATTTCAGTAGGCAGTTATATAAGTAAAGAAATCAACTTTAATAAACAAGCCAATCAATGATGACACGAGAGCTACATACTCATATGAATGACTCGCCCTCTATATATCCAGCTGATTAGTCGTCGTTTCCCATACGCTACCTGGTGACCATAAGTGAGTTATACCACAGTAGATACTACCGTATCACTGTATCACTAAGTAACTATGCAATCTTGTTTGTGATTTAGAGACTTCTGTTATACTTATAGTTGTTGTATAAATTATATGATATGAATGGTTGTGCATAATTACACAATTTATACAAATAGGACAGGTTTATGCTGCGCAAATAAGATGTTGAGTACTTGAAGGAATTGTAACGGTAGTACTGTGATTATGCTATGACTCAATTGAATAGTAATTATTAAATTGTTCCCACGTAGTCTACAAAACTGTGAATTGATTGTTTTGTGTGTAGATCCCTAACAGGCTGCACATAATTCTGTATTAATGAATGAATGTTCGTTTAGGCTCCTTATGCTAACGCCATATAGGCCATGGGCTGGAGGGGGGGGGGGTCACCGTGCACTCCCTCAGTTACACTTCCTTGGTATCATTTTATTCCTACGGACATACAAAACAAAAAAAATTGATGTTAACAAGAAAAATATATGGATGCATTGTATGTACTCGCGTCATTTGTAATGGTCGTTAGTGTTTTATGGTCAATTTGTTTTAGGGGGGGGGGGTAACATTTATGCCTATAACCTGTGATTTAAACATCCCATCAATGTTATTTTGCTAGCAATGTGCAGCATATATGTTTCCTGATCGTATGCAATTTAAATAAAATTAGCCTACAATTATTAAAGTCACTAGAGATCAAAAGGTCATCGACCTTTTTCTAAAATGCCAATTTTTTCATAAAATATCAATAAACTTCAGTGTTATATGTCTAATTTTGGATATATTTGATACAAATTGTGTTTTTCTTGTAGTTAATAACATATGGAATACAAAAATTGAAGTTAACAAAAACAAAGTTGTATATATTTCCATATTATTGTCATAAAGACTATCTGCCATAATTTTTGGGAAGAATTTGCATTTCTACAGAGGTCAACGACCTTTTGTCCTTTAGGTACGTCAATTTCTGCACATGTTTTAAATTTGAATGGTTGGAAAATCTACAGGCAACATGTTAATATCAACATCATGCAAATCACCAGTGATTACACAAGTAATACAAAATGACAGTAATACTTTAATAAATTTATACACTTTTCTTGTTAATATTATTTTGGATATTCCATATGCTTATTAATAATAAAAAAATACTAATTGGTATCAAATCTACTCACAACTGTAGATTTGAAAACGTTTTGTGTGTGAATTGGAAATAAATATACAACTTATCTGTGTAGGTCAGTGACCTTTGATCTCTAGTTGCGTAAATTTCTGCCAATTTCAAAACTTTTTCAATTTGAATGACTGACCAAACTATAGGCTAAATGTCAATACCAACATCATACATTGAGTATATCAAGAGTTATGAGCATTTGATGTTACCCCCTACCCCAAAAACTGTTGTTGATTACAAATTTCTCGGATCATAAACATTGACAATAGTACATAATGCATTTTAATTTTTTTCTTGTTAACCTCAATTTTTGTATTCCACATGTTAATAACTACAAGAAAAACACTTTTTGACCTCTAATGACATAAATAATTGTCGGATTAATTGTATTTAAACTGCATATTATGATTAAGAAACATATATATATATATATATCATTGATGGCCATAAAACACTAACGATCATAACAAATGACGCGAGTACATACAATGCATCCCTATATTTTTCTTGTTAACATCAATGTTTTCGTTTTATATGCCCGTAGGAAGAAAATAGTTCCAAGTTTACATGTGGGTGGGGGGGGGGGGCACGGTGACCCCCCCCCCTCCAGCTCATGACCTGATAGGGTAGGGACAATTTGAGTTTTGTTATGTGTGATGTACTAGGATGGATAAAGTTATTCATGACGATTGTTTTACTGATGTTTGTAACTTCGGGCGTATTTTACTGATCCGATGATATTCGACAATAACATCTAAAATTACTGTAAAATAAAGTAAAGACAATTATTAAACAATTAAATTAGTCAATAAGAAACACTGCACCTCGACAATACCAACGGTATCGGTCTATCCTATGACGCCATAAATATTCATTTTTGCAGTCAACCGTGACGAGTCACTGGCGAAGGTCTGTCATCAAATGTTAGCACGCGATGTATTACATAGGCTTATTGCTTATAATGAAACGTCACTACATTACTAAATCTAACAACTGTTTGGACCTGTGATTATAGCTATCAATAGTCAAACGGTGGTCTTCATAATTATGACTGTACACAACCGCAATAATATTGTAAACAGGAACAACAAATATAAAGATAAAATACGTAAAAGCTACATACATTATTTCGACTGACTCCTTGCCTATATGACCTACCACAAAGCTACGATGGAATGCTTCTCATTCCAAATCACTAATATTACTGTACTGTTCATCTCTACAGTACAACTATGTAATTATTCCACAACAAATCATGTACATACCAGTCCCACAACAGCTAAACAGGGTAGTAAAAACGGTTTATTCGACTTCCTAACTTCAAATGGAAGCTCTCCGCTAAGAACATGTATTACTACAGTATGGCGTCCCTGGTTTCCAACGTGCAACACTCGTTCTTACCGCACTAAACTTCCCGGACCCTACCATTATACTACAAGGTATGTTATAAAATGATGAGCCAACAGAGGGCCTTCTATATGAATCTATAATCACCACAATGTTAATAGAAAGTTTTCATTTGTTATTGCAGGTGGATTTGGCCACCGTCCTTTTTCTTTACTGTGATTGATTGCAAGTTGCTAATAAAATATTATTACAAAGGATACCCAAATTTGTATGTGTCGGCTGCAATTTATTTTGTGTCAGCCAGGACCACTACATATTTTCTTTTATTAATTTCTTTTCCAAAAACACATATTGAAACACAATTTCGCCGACCCAGCGGCGACAAAACACATTGATAAATCAAATGAAAGAGATATTGACAATAATAATCTTAATAATGTTATAAATTACAAAAAAAATAATAAACATCACACAAATAAAATAAGCAAAATTTGTAGCAATATGGCGTATAATGGCGTAATAATTTACATTTGCTGTAATACAACCTTTTACATGAAGTCCAATGCTTAATGTGATTTTTCATAAAAATCATGTTTTTAGGCAAAAATATGAAATTGTCATATCTCTGCAACTCTTACGTCTATAGAAATCATTTTGGTGCCAATTTGTTCAGAAGACACATTTATATTTGCTCTAATACAACTTTTTCCATGAAAACTAATACTTACTGAGAAATTCTTTACAATCATGTTTTTTGGAAAATATAAGTAGAAAACCAAATACAGTTCATTATTAGGCCTTGACATATATTTATTGTTTAAATGTTACAGTAGTGACCATTGGCACAGTTTTAGAACACCCTGTAGGAGTACAAAATCCAAGTTACTGGAAATTGTATTTGAGCTATGTGACCTTTGACCTCAATTTAATTTTTTTTTCTTAAAAAACATGAAATTGCCTTATCTCTGCACTACTTTGGTCTGTTGAAAGATTTTTATTTAAAATTGTTTAGAAGACATACATTTATTTTTGCTCTAATACAACCTTCTAAATGAAAACTAATACTTACTAAGAAATTATTTAAAATCATGTTTTTCTGCAAATATAGTTAAAAACCATATATCAGAAAAATACAGTTCATTAGGCCGTGACATATGTTTATTAATATGTTACAGTAGTGACGTTTGACATAGTAGTAGAAACGATTGTAGATGTACAAAATTCAAGTTACTGTGAATTTGATTTGACCTGTAAGATCTTTGACCTCATTTTAAATGTTTTTTTTTATTTAAAAAAAAATATAAAATTGTCATATCTCTGTAATACTTTGGTCTACAGTATTGAAATGATTTTTTTTTTGTCGAATTGTTCAGAAGACATACATTTATATTTGCTCTAATACAATATTTCCCATGAAAACTAATGCTTACTGAGAATTTCTTTAAAATCATGGTTTTGGGCGAATAATATGAACATTCCATATTTCTGAAAAATACATTTAATTATTAGGTGGTATTGGCATACTGTATGTTCATCGAGATGTTACAATACAGTAGTGACTTTGACATAGTGGTAGAACACATTGTTGGGTACAAAATTCAAGTTACCGTAAAATATATCACTCACTATGGCATTCGTGGAACTCCTCTAGCCCTTCTCTCAAACTATCTTCATGAAAGAACACAGTATACCTCATTTAGCTATCATTCTTTTGACTCCCTTCCCGTAGGCTCTATTCTTGGCCCCTATTCTTCCTTATTTATATGAATGACCTGATTCACGCATCTAACTCGTTTACATACGTTCTCTTTGCAGACGACACCACTATTTTCCTTTCACATTCTGATTTGCACACACTAATTAGAACATTCAACAAGGAAATAAAACATGTTTCGAATTGGTTGAAAATTAATAAATTGTCATTAAATATCAGCAAAACCAACTACATACACTTTTCCGGAAATAAACCTAATATTGATCCGAACACAAACATCTATATCGACAATACTCCTATTAATTCTGTTAATTATATACAATTTTTCTAGGAATACTCATAGATAATAAACTAAACTGAAAACTTCATATCTCAAAAATTTCTAGCAAAATTTTTAAAAGCATTGGCAACTTAAACTTACTCTTCCATCAAATATTTTCATTTTATAACACTCTTATTCTCCTACATCTTTCCTACTGTAATATTGCATGGGCAGCCACAGATGCAAAACACCAAACTCTTTGTCCTTGGACAAGCACTGAAACAACTAAACTTGATCTATTATTTAAACTTCGAAAAAGGGTTCTTCGTATTTGCTCTCAAATTACCTTTCCCATTACAAACCTCTTTTTTAATATAAATTTTACACCTTAAACATTTTTGACATAAATAAATTGCAATATGCTATTTTCATGTATCGATACGCAAACAATAAACTCCCAAATACTTTTAAAGGATACTGAATAAAAGAATAGAAATAATAAACTACATAACTATGACACTAGAAACGCAATCAAGTATGTTATAAAAAAATCTACAATAGAACCTCGACCCGAAATTCAATAATGCACACCGGTCCTCTGCTCTGGAACTTACTTGACACATCCATCTTAAGTCACAATACCATAAATTATTTTAAATACACTTACAAATCACACCTGATATCTAAACATAAACACTCTTAATATCCTTCCTTGTTTCTTTGTGTATATGTTCTGTACTGTCCTTGTCCCGTTAAGAATATAATGTTGTACTCGTATTCTTGTATGTTTTGTGTGCGTATAGCAATCACTGTATTATCAAAACTTTTACAATTTTCAACTTTTTACTGGTGGAACTAGGCTTAAAGCCCTCCTGGGCTTATCTGGCTTTCTCCAGACATATTTGCATTCCAATTAATATAATCGATTTTTTTCATTGTAATTCCTGATGATGCATTATGTGAATAAACTGAACTTGAACTTCAACTTGAACTCTGTATCCTTTGACCTCAATGTTTATGTTTATTGAACAAAAAAACAAAATTGCCATATCCCTAATATTTTGGTCTATTAAAATGATTTTGGTGTCAATTTATTTGCTCTTACAAATTTTAACCTAATGCTTAAAGAAAAATTCTTTAAAATCATGTTTCGGGCAAATTAAATATAGGAAGAGTTATATTTCTGCAAAGTACAGTATATTAGATCCGATGTTTAGGTCTTAACACAGCATATTATTAAAATATTATTTTTTGAAAAAAAAAATCTACATAATCACTGCCTTCTTTCATAAATCATATACAAATATATAATGATTTAGAATGATAAATGACGATAACTTATAAAGCTAGATGATGACATAAATTATAGTGACGATAATAGAAAATTAATGAATGATGATGGTTATGGAGGATTACGATGATACTGAATTATGCCGATAATGAGGATGCTGATTGTATTGTTCATAGAAGATGACAATATGATGATGGATTAGATTTGATGGATGATGATAGTAAATCATTGTGACAATGATTATACAGTAAATAGTGATGATTATGATAGGGATGCTAACGATATTGTGAAATGATAATTGAGAAAATAATGATAGAGGAAGTTGATTGTAATAATTATGATTATGGTCATGGCGATAATGAAAATGATGATAAAGGATGGCAATTGTTGATAGTACGATAATGGACAATGATGATAGGTGATGATGATAAAATATGATGGTGATAATAGAAAATTAAACAAAAACTATGTAAAAAATGTTAATGTCTAGGATGGGATAATTATTTAGGGAGTTGATGATGATAATAATGGATGATGATGATTATGGATGTCAATCATGATGATTATGGATGATGATGATTATGATGATGATTCTGAAGAAGAATGGTTTAGGATGATGGAGGAGGATGATAATGATACCAATGATGATGATGAAGATGATTATGATTATGCAGAAGGATGCTTTAAAATGATGGAGGATGATGATGATTATAATGATGAAGAATGATGTTTGGTTTGATAATTAATGATGGTAATGTTTTTTCTGTTGATTGATGGTGATAGTGACGCTGATGGAAAACGATACTGGTGGATGATGATGCCGTAGGATAACGATGATGCTGCAGGATTTTATTTTATTTTATTCTTTATAACAAACAAAATCAATAAAGAAAGAGGAGGGCTGAGGAGTGGCAAAAGCGGTACAAAAACTACTATCACCGGATATGCTGTGCCCCTCTAACTCCAAATTCAACATTCAACACAAATTAAATAAAAAAGATATTTGCAAATATAACAATGAAAGGTCAAGAGTAAATATTAATACAAAATATATTTATTAAATATTTGTTCTTATTATATTAATTATTAAAAATAAATAAAAATAAACTGTAAAAGCCTAATATACAATAATGACCACAGTGATTACGATAATGATGAAAAATTGCGATATTGTATGATAATGAATGATGATAATGTATGATATGATGATAATTATTCCCAAAAAATGACATTTAGAGAATAAAAATGATGGCGATTAATAATGAGGATGGTAATTGTTGATGATGATTTATGGGGAAAAAAGATGACAACATATCATCATTTAATACTGTCATCTTCTATCAACATTACAATCATCGTTATCGGCATAATTCAATATCATCGTAATCCTCAATTACCATTATTATTGTCCTCCTTCATTTTTCATTTTTTTGCTAACAGAGATGGTCCATGGCACCCGACTTTTGAAGAAAAAAAAATCGGGTTATAAATCCTGCTGGTTTGTTGAATAGCGATGGGTTCTTAAATTATTTATTGCCAGTGAAGCCAATGAGATGAAATGAGTGATTGTAATGCGTTTCTTATTTACATTCCGATGGCTATATGTTGCTGGCCAGGACTCTCTTGTTAACTCCCAATGGACATTTTTAAAACTAATTAAAGTTGGCGAAGGTGGCGCTGTTCAAGCTGTTCGGACATGTTCCAATCGCCTATTCCTCTAATTTTGATTTTTACATAATTTTATTCCTTTTCAACGTATTTACTTTGGGTTTTGATGTTGTA